ACCACTTTTTGCCAAATATATAAAATAATTACATTAAATGAGAACCAAATAAGTCAAACAGAAAGATGATGTGTCTATAATTCGCGAAAACACATGTAAAGCACATAAACCTAGCGTTTGGGGATCAATTTTACAGCTTCATCCAAACGCAACCGCCTGTAAAAAACGTGCAGCACAGGATCCTGCATTTAGGCATGCAGGCCCCCCTGCTGATTGGGTATAAAAATCCACATGTTCATACAGTCCTTATAACGGCAGTAGAGGCGGTGACAGAATGCCAAGACTGAATGCAGCTCAACGGAACAACGCCATTGGGAGAAGTGGCCAGGCACTTTGGCGTATCCAGACAGACAATCTCCGCACTGTGGACCCGATACAACAACACTAACAGAGTTGACGACAGACCAAGGTCAGGATGACCAAGGGTGACAACCCAAGCACAAGATCGATACATCCGGCTGCGACACCTCCGAGACCGCACTACCACAGCCACGTCTACAACCACACAGATCCCTGAGGTACGCAGAATATCAGATCAAACGGTACGCAACAGACTGAAGGAGGCTGGACTTTTTGTACGAAGACCTGTTCGACGTCATGTATTGACCCCACGTCATCTGGCGGACCGTCTGCTTTGGTGCCAACAGAGGGTTAGATGGGCACGTGCAAGGTGGAGAAATGTACTGTTTACTGACGAGTCCCGTTTCCTACTCAGACGTGCTGATGGGCGCGCACGTGTCTACAGACGTCGGGGTGAACGTTACGCCCCCAAATGTGTGCATCAGGTTGTCCCATTTGGCGGCGGGAGTGTCATGGTATGGGCCGGAATTCATCACGGTGGTAGGACGCCTCTCGTGCATGTGGCAGGTGCATTGAGAGGTGTGCGTTACTGAGACTTGATCCTACAGCCTGAGGTTCTTCCTCACGTCAACGTTCATGGCAGACAGTTCCAGCAGGACAACGCTCGACCGCGTATTGCACGCGTGTGTCAGGACTTCTTACAGCACAACAACATCCAGACATTACCTTGGCCAGCCCGGTCACCAGATTTGTCCCCGTTTGAGCATCTGTGGATCGACGCGTTCGCAGAAGGAATCCACCGCCCCAAACACTTCCGGCGCTTCTTGATGCACTTCAGCATGAATGGCAGCACATCCAACAGTTATTGACAACTTGATTGCGTCTATGGGTCGTCGGTGTCAAGCGGTGATTGATGCACGTGGTGGGCACAACCGATACTGACATTTTCTGTACCCCAGTGATATTAACTGTATCGTGTACGTGTGTCTGTCTAGGTGACACGATTAATGTTTTGAACATTGTGTACATTGATCTTCAAACAGTGTTTCAATTATGGCTTCTGTGTCCTATTTTGAAACAATCGCATTATATCACATTTTGAAAGTCAGTGTCAAGTTTCTTTATTTGAAGATATAAATATGTACAACAAACACATATATTCAACTTAACAAAGAACCAAGCTGAGGGTAGCACATTTTTATCATTCTAATAAAGTCATTGTCCAAGTCTGATAATGAGATTTGGATGAGTGTTTTTAGTCCCTGGTTCAGTTGTTTCTCCAACCGACACAGACAATTATCTACCTCGCGGTAGACTTGTTTTCTGCTCCTTGAGCAGCACCAAACTAACCCTTGATATGTTGGCCCTCTCTGCACGTCTCTGACAGAAATAGTTAGTGAAGTTTACTTACAGACTGCTGTCATATACCTGGAATATTGCTGAATGCGGCGTTAGACAACAAACAAACAACAACAAACAAACAAATCAAAGAATCTTCTTCTCATAATTTACTAACAACAGTAGTATATTTACTAAGCTTGTTGTAGGTTTTACCACACTTTAATGAACGTTCGTTTCTTGGTCATTCTGCGCTCCCTGTTGACAGCTGCTGAATACAGTTTGCACCCCCAAAACAAAACAACAACCCCCACCCCCCCCCCACCCCACCACCACCCCACCCCAAACAAACAAACAAAACAAAACAAAAACCAAGTAAATAACAAATGAGATAAACGACACTGGTGAAAGATAACATATAATGATTTGTAGTGGCATTTACGACTAGACCATTCGGGTCCGATGTTGAAAATGTACAAGGGTCGCTAGCGCCCTTCTTTGTCAACACACGTTCTTCCTGGAATTTGTTCTGTCATCAAATTGTCATAGATCATTGCCAAGTGGTGTTAAACTGACAATTAAACTGAAATATGTTACCCCTTCTCTCCACCGCTGCCGCGTGCAGTCTACCAGGCAGAAGGGTAAATTCACTGTTTACTTGCCTTCTGACCGCTAATTAAGTTAGTTGAATTCACACGACATGTTTCTCAGTACATTATGTTATGAACATACTTCCTTAATTTGATTTCATGTTTTCATTTATCTAACATTTAACTACATATTACATGAACTACTTCAGCAGGTTGGAGACTTAATGTTTCACCGTTTCACGATGATATAGTTTAAATGAAAGGTGACGATAGACAAAAGCAAATGACGAAAGAAATAACCAATATTGAAAAATCCAAATGAATGAGTGTTTGAAATGCTTCTCGGTTGGTTATGTGGACTTGCAGCACGTACATGTTCAGACCGCAAGGCACCTTCAGTCTGCTGTACAATCCCCGCGGTATGCCGTGTCAGTCTTATACAGGCACACGAGTTCTTTGTTGATGAGTGTTGGAAGTAATTGACAGTGACATAAATGTGAACATTCTGAGGTCGCTCTTCTTGTCGCCAATGATAACTTAGGAAAAGGGTGTCTCATTAAAAACTATTAATATGTCAACAAAATAAAAGGTAAAATTCAAATAGAGGCCATAACAATGTTCAATTTCAGTCAAGAGTTGAGACAATCATTTGTGATTGTTATTATTTCCATACTTTCAATGAATTATTGGTTTATCCTTAATCTAAATGGTCATGCCATTTAAATGAAATACTGATTTCAGTTATTGACTTACTGGTATCAATAAAGCTGATGTAAAAAAAACCCGAAGGTATATGTGATCGTCAAATCTATTCATGTCGAATTGAATTACTGATATCAAGAAATAAATTATTTATATCAGTAATATTCGAGACAATGAGTTAATATCAACATGAAATATAGATATCATGAAATAAATAGGTAACGTCGGTCCAAATCATGACCTCAGTAATTCTAGTTATATCAGAAATTATCATTGATTGTATCAGCACCTACAGATAATATGAGCATGATGTACCCGTTATATATATACTCACACGCAAAAGAAACGCAAGTGGTTTTAAGCAAATAGGTAACACACACGGAACCATAAATTGATACGGGTTTTAGCATGTAGTGAAATCTGATGGTGTTATCAATATCTTTGGTTGCATTTTGGAAGCCCCGAGTAAAAACGCAACATAAAAAACGAATCGCCAAAACGCACCATTTCAATGAATACGTGGGTATCATGCGACCAATTCTCGCGAAATCGAAAATGCACGAACTTTCACGAACTGTAGTGGGTATAAAACTGTGGCCGATTCTTGGACCTACCACTCCTTGGTCAACAATGCCACGCCTAACTCAAATTCAGAGAAACCAGGCTATTGGACGTTTGGTAGCTGGGGAGTCTGTCCAAGGTGTTGCCCGTCATTTCAACGTTAACATAACTACAATTTACCGTCTCCTGCATCGATAAAATGCTACACAGACTATAGATGACCTTCCTCGGAGCGGTCGTCCTTGGGTCACCACACCTCGACAAAATCGGCAGATTACCCGTCAAAACCAGCGACATCCGTTCCTAACTGCAAGTGAAAGTGCTCGACAGACCATAGGAACACATAATCGACACATTAGCCGGGACACTGTGATCCGACGTCTCCGTTCCAACAACTCAGATGTTGCCGACCAGCACGTCGTCCTGTTCTCCAACCATGGCATCGACAAGCACGACTTCCGTGGGCACAGGGTCATCCCAATTGGCGTCATCGTGAGTGGAGGCGTGTCATCTTCTCTGACGAAAGTCGCTTTTGTGGCTCCCATGCAGACGGGAGAGTCAGAATTTGGCGGCGTCGAGGTGATCGTTTCGCTGACAGAAACGTTGTGGAAAGGGATCCATGGGATGGACCTAGCGTCATGATATGGGCAGGGATTTGACTTAATGCGAGACTTGGACCCATGTGCTTTCTGAATGTTGGTCAAGGTCGGGGACACGGCGTCACTGCTCAGCGGTATATGGACCAAGTGATCAGACCCCACGTTGTTCCATTTTTTGCAAAACATCAACAACACATTTTCCAGCAGGACAACGCTCGTCCCCATGTTGCCAGAGCTACCATGGCCTTTCTGCAACATCCGTGTTCTACCGTGGCCAGCCCTCAGCCCTGATCTGAACCCCATCGAACACTTGTGGGATGAGGTTCAAAGGCGTCTGCACAATGTGCGCCCAGTCCCTACAACTGCCGATTAACTACGCACAGCTGCTCTGGATGTGTGCAGGAGGATCCCTAGGGCCTTCACAAATCGTCTGATCCACTCAATGTACAGGAGATGTGTGGCAGTGATCAATGCTAATGGTGGTCACGCCAGGTATTGACTGACATTTTGGGTATTGACCCGAAACTGTGTAAGCCCTTAACATTTGAAAAAAAACCAATTATGTCATCTGCCTTTTAATCCATTAAACTGTCTTCAGTCAAATTTTTGTCAATCTTGCCCTGTTAGTATTTCTTGTCTTTACTGTTGAAAATAAATAACATGTATACTGCATACTCGACTTGCGTTTCTTTTGCGTGTGAGTATATATAGAAAATTACAATTTCATTCCAGTGAATCGACCATGTTTGCTGGTGACATATACATATGGTTTCACACGCGGTCATAATGTTGATGCATATTTTGATATCCAATCTTAATATACAAAACAGATGATATCAGAGAAACCGTTGCATCTTTTTCTCCATGTTTCGCATCTGACGAGTTTTGCAATTTACTGCGCACTGGTTCAGGGGCAGATAACTCTGATCAACCCGAAGGTTTGTTGTTCAATCCGCCAGTCACAGTATAATATCTAGGCAAGGGCAAGGTACATACTCTGATTACCTATTACATTGTTTTGAATTTAGCATGTTTGTAATACGACCTACTGTAGAAACTAGATCTATAGGCCCTGTGTAATGTCATTCACACACAACAGAACTGCGGCGACGCAGAAGATGTCAAGGCCCGATTTTTCAATTTTATTTCTCGAGACAATTTGGAACAAAAATATTATTCTCTATTTTTAGGGAATACTATAATTCACTGTCTCTAAGTCACTAAAATTGTGAACATCAAAACTGATCAAGCGGCCACTGGCAGTGCGTTGTTGCCACAGGATAAAAACAATCCAGGCGATATTCTCAGTACAGAAACTAAGCTATCTGTAGGCCATTGTACCCGTGCTGACAAACACCCCTTCAGTCCTAATTTGACATATATCTCTGTAATTTCTATATCTTGCCAGACTTGAAAGTCTTCCTAGAATCCAATATATCTGGGTAGTGTCCTCGAATTACAAAGAGTCTAAAGGGTCCAATGGTCCAATGGTATTGCACCCTTATGGTTTTCTAACAAAGCTGGCACGTAAGGCGGCGATATATCATCTAATTGTTACATTTAGATAGCTGCAGGAGTTAATTATATGCCACATAAATGTTGCAACAGAGTAACACATAAATGAAAAACGTACATCATGTCCACACCACTGATTTAGTTCGCAAGTTACTCCCGTGAGTGAAATCCATTTTAATTAAGAGTAATGCATTCAACATTTGTAAAAATCATGTTATTTATCTCCTTAATTGCTACTCACTCTGCATTGTTTCAGTCATTCTAACTTGATTTACTCTAGATCACTATCAAAATTTAATGTTATAAGGACTGACTGTGAGGTATCATCATGTGCGGTAGTAATAGAAGTATTAATGATAATGATAAATATATGATTTAATGATAAAGTTCATCAATGATTGTCATGCTTTCATCATGTTAATCAGTCTTTGAGATAAAATACAAAATAACATTGTTATACTGTCAATACTTGATGTTTGTCTCATGTTACAGTGTTGTAACAGGGATCCAAAGACACATAATGTTCAGGGATTTATCCAGGATTTCAAACTAAGTGTCCTTGGCAATGCTTGGCAGGCAATTTGATAAAAAAAAAAACCACCTTGTTATTTTGTTCAAATTGGTCAGGACCTGTGAAGATTCCAGGGTAGAATAGGTCTTCATCAACCCATGCTTGCCGTAAAAGGCGACTATGCTTGTCGTAAAAGGCGACTAATGGGATCAGGTGGTCAGGCTCGCTGACTTGGTTGATGCATGTCATCGATCCCAATTGCGTGGATTGATGCTCATGAAATTAATAACTGGATTGTCTGGTCCAGACTCGATTATTTACGGACCGCCGTCATATAGCTGTAATATTGCTGAATGTGGCGTAAAACAACAAACCAAACCAAACCAAACCAAATCAAATTGGTCAGTGCTGTGAATACAAGTCACTTCTACAGAGCCAAAACATTAGTTATTAGGAGTCCTATTATGTAACGTCCAGGTCTCCAGGAGCTTCAGGAGGTAGGAGTCCTATTATGTAACGTCCAGGTCTCCAGGAGCTTCAGGAGGTTTCATCAGACATCAGAGTTACATAATGCAGTGCAGTCAGTCAATAACGCATTTCTTTCTCAGTTTGGTACAATCGTGAGAAAATCCATTGTTAATGGTGTACAAGTAAATAAAACATTTGAGTGAATATCATCAATGCAATTGAACTTAATTCACCATCATTAACTTAGCTCACTTGCCAGCGAAATAACTGTAATGCAACTTCATGCACTTTATTATGTTTATTACAAGAACACAAATATGGAAAAAGCTTTATTATTTAGTATCATTCTCCTGTACGTTCCTAGATGTTCCCGGACATTCCCAGACATTATTTAGTGGGGCTGTTTATTGCTCTTTAACATGAATTGGGAAATTTGTAGTTCCAATTTAGGAATATTTACTGTCACTTGCTGCACAGTTGTCAGCCTCTGGGCAGGTCCAGATAAATCCCTGTATAACACAATATCATACTCGCCCACCCATGATATACCTGGAAACTTCGCATTCCCACCAGACACAAGATCATACCAGTGTGTGACTTCAGCTCTATGTCCAAAATCTGCATTTTTTGTAAAACTTTGTTTGCAAGTCTATGTGTAAATAATGTGTGAAGCACATTTCTGGTGTTTCACACTGTGATACTGCTGGAATATTGCTAAAGTGGCGTAAAACCACTCACTCACTCACTATATGTTAATATTAAAATCTACTGAAAATGATGCAAAGAGACAATTTGGGACCAGCAGAAACAGACGTTTTTAGCACATAGTGTTATAGATGCACAGGATATATGCTGAGTGGTTTGGAAAGGGACAATAGGGGCATTGGACAGCTTGGGTAACCTTGGGCATCCACTACCCAGTCAAGGCAGGTGATGCTTTGAGTAAATAATATGCAGCCTCAGCCTGTAATTTAGGTCTTGGGGAAGATACCTGACATGATATTGATATTTGTGAGTGATATATATTTATCCCTCAATTCATAGCAAACTTGCTACAAAGTCTATTTGTCATTTATTTCAAACCATTGATCCTTCTGCCCTCAATAACAGTGATGTAGTTATAATGTTATCAGTTAAACTTAATGTGTGATGTAAACCATGCACAGGGCTCAGTAAATGTGCAACAATTGCAAGACTACAGGCTGGTATCATAGTCTACACTCGGGAGAGTAAATATCATGTCATTCAATGTATCATCTTGAAAAAGATCAAACATTCCTACTGCCAGATCTGTGGGTGGAAAGATATGTATTGTATTAAGGGATAAGTACCAGAGATAATTTTTCCTCACATGTTGCTGAGACTCCCAAGTTTTTGTCTTAGGATGCAGTTATTGCTATGGAAATTTGCAAATGATAATCTATTTGTCCCTATGACTTATGACTTTTTAGCTCAAATGTCAAAATCAAGTGAGCTTATGTTGTGGCATGTATGTCTGTCATCTGTCATGTATCGCCAATTTGGAACATCTTCTCCAAAACCACTGCACCAGTGTGTGAAATAATCTCAAAATAATCATGGCCAGTTGGGCTAGCTAGCCTTTCAAGTTTTTAACTAGTTTCAAATGTTACTGGACATGGAATCTGTACTGACCATTTGAAGAAATTTCAGTTCCGGGCCTGTTTTTTCAAACTCATATCTGCACTCAGCACTAATTTTTTCACAAAAGATATGGGCAAGTTATGTTGTGGAGTCATTTCGGATGTGTCACATAATCATGGTCACAGTAGAATTGTCATAATTGAAACGAAAAAATTCATCCTCACAATATTTGACATAGGTAGTCAACTTTTTTTAAATAATGCAGCTTTTGATTGGTTGAACTACAAATTACAACCAATCACAAAAAAAGTTTGTTATACACAGTGTTACAGTCACTAAAACAAGGTGAAGGGTCGTTTCTATCTACAGCAATGAGAGAGCTTTTAAACATTTTGATTAACCAAGAGGTGTGCCTAAAAATATCGCTGTTGGTTTCAGTAGCCATTCGGGCTCGGGACATCAGAATCTTTAACCTGACAAATATTTTGCTAGCCACAGGCTAGGGGGCAGGTAACTATTACGCACACTGCACTGCACCAAAGCTGAAACTTGACATGCATGTTCCCACAAATGACACTCATATCTGACCATTTTAGCTCACCTGATTGAAAGTCATGTGAGCGTATGTCTTGATGCGTTGTCAGACTGTTAGTTGTGAACTTTCCCATTTTCAACATGTCCTCTGAACTACAAGGCTAACTTTGTATGAATGATCCCATTCCCAGCTTTGGTATACCTGACCCCGTAGAGAACAGGTCTTCAGTAACTTATGTTTGCTGTATGAGGCGACTATGTTTGTCGTAAGAGAGGACTATCAGACTCGGGTGGTCAGGCTCGCTGGCTTTGTTTGATGCGTGTCATTGTCACTAGATACTGTCAATCATCAAGGCTTGAGGCTTTTGCCTTGGAGCTTTCACAATATCTACTCTTAATAGTTTATATGTGGAGGCTGAAGAGCCATCCCTTAAACAACACTGTTAGAAATTATCCTTACAATACTACACAGGATTATATTCTAATCAATCTTATCCAGCTTTTGGATATTATTTAATCCTCTTTATGAAGACCTTTACATCAAAAAGCAACCACTTGCAATAAGAATAAAACCTGCCCTTCCCTCAGCCAATATATATCTTGAAACTATAGCTCCTCGCCTCAAACTCACACAATTGGTTTATTCCAGTTGTTTCCTCCTTTTTTGTTTTTGTGCATTCTACCAATGACAACTTCACACACTGACTTAACTCACTCTGAAAGAAATTCAACAGGTTCCTCTTCTCTTTAGGCCCATTTTTGCACATTAGAAAAAGTCACAACTTTTATGTGCTGCTCAAATTAATAATCTTGAATTTTGATTTGAAAATGTTTCCATAGTTTTTTCTCTCTCAGTACGGATGTGTGACGAATAATGTTAAATAATTGCATGAATTTGTTCAGGTAGTCATTATTGGTTTATATTTTCGAATTGGAAGTATCCAAAAAGTATATTATCTGATATTTCACTCGACAAAATGTGAATAACAACATGCATATCAATGTTTACATGACCATGTTTCATCAACGTCAGTGTGAGTTCATAAAACTTTATTATGGTCATTATTTCCCTAGGATTCAGGTAATGAATTCAGGTACTCAAAATGTACATATGCTTTTTTTATATGTTTTTCTTACCAAGAAAGCTTGTATTTGACTGATTACCGTTATTAGCCAAAGCAGACGGCAAAAGACAGGAAATGATCTTGTTAAAATATGTGCAATGAAGTGTGCAATGCAGTCAATAACAAATAGTTCTGTTGTATGGTCTTCTATAATATTTCAAAAGCTTTTGAAAGAGTATGGCATTGTGGGCTTATATATGAATTTAAATGTTTGGATATAAACGACGAATTACTAGAATAGGTGGCTGATTCTGTAACAGCTTGCAAACAATCTGTCTTTTCAAATGGCATATTGTATGATGCTGGAAAGGATCGGTACTAGTCCTTTTCTGTTTCTTTGTACATCAATGATGTAACCGTTAAGTTCAAGATTATTTGCTGACAATACATCCCTGGGCATATCAGACACCAGACACCAGTGCTGACGGCTCATGCTGGTTAGGATGTTTCCCTGAGGGTGTTTTCCCAAAGGCTCTTTGCTGTCATTCCTGAAGCTGACGGCCCGACTTCAGACTGATATTATACTGATGGCTAGCCCTAGTTTCCGGTTCCTTCCAGTCTTCCATTTCTGAAGCTCACATACTGGCCTGGCTGACAATATTCTGACAGCTGGTTGAAATGCCGGCACTAGCTGGCTTAGGATTCAGGACCTGTTGTCTCATTCCAACAAAGACATTTTCTCGGACACATATCCGGTTTCAAGCATCAAGACATAAGGATTATGTATTTGGCTTTATCTGGCTTTGACTCGGATACCTATTCTGACCAATAGCTGGATGTTTTACATATCACGCCACAGAGATGGTTCAAGGATTGGAAGTAATGATAACTGCCATCAGGTGTGTGTATACAGAACAACACCTAATGTTCATCCAGAACAACAGTTATGTTGTGACGAGACTGCAATCTTTGGATATTTCAGATGATGCACGATTTAGGGAATTTGTTTGCTATCTTCCAGTTTATGGTAAGCAAGGAATGAACAACTACAGTGTAGCTTCTGAGGATTCCCAGGCCCCAGATTGTGGACCCATTTTGAATTGATGAAAGATGCATTCATAAGTTACAGTAACAGTATGAGCTTGAAGTTATGTCTTCTCAAGACAAGCCTGTGAAGTCAGGACACTACAAAGGAACCATGCCCATGCCTTCCTGCTACCAACACTATATCCAGAGTACTGCAGAATTGAGGAAGAGATGCTTTTGGTAGTACATTATTGGCTCAGAAGACGGACACTTTCTTATTCAGCTATGATTTTTGGTTATTCACAATGATTATGAGACTGATCCTTGTTTTTGCCTACAGTTGTTGGATCAGGATGAATGGATATTTGGATGATATTATATCAGCCAATGAGCTACAGGAACAACTCATTAGACAGGCATTGTCCAATTCAACTATTCAGTGTCTTGGGATTCCCAGTGCATAAAAACAAGTCAGCATTTGTCCCCACTCAGAAGATCCATTGTGTCAAAACAGTGTTCAATTCTAAACGGATGATAGTGACCCGGACAGAAGACAGATTTACATCATCAGTGGATTTTATTCATCAGAGCTACAGATAAGCTGCGTATTTGGGTAAAATATTCAAAACCCAATTACTTTCAGTTGACTTACGTACAGAAACGCATGCATTAAATGAAAAACTCAAATGTATAAAAACAGCATGCTTAAATACCCAATGAAGCTTTCTCAGCATGCGTAAAATGGAGCTAATTTCCGAAACACAATTACGAGCCAATTTACTTTCCGAGTCAAGTCTATAGTTAGAACCCTTATATACATCTAAAACATTAGGGAAGTGAATTTATGGATGTCAACCTCTTTATTATGAGGAACACAACATTTTGGAGTATATGCTTACTCTTTCATCAGGTGAATGAATGATATGTACTGTAATTTGAAGTTTGACGACCGCTTCAGCCTCTGGCTATGTCACAGTCGGTGAATGATAAGAGGCAGAGAGCATATATATGTACTCGTAAGAACAACAAAAGTAATAAGATAACAAAAGGTGGAAACTTAACAAGGGAAGCCAAAAGATAATTGGTGCTGATAGGCGATAAGCAATAGCCAACATTTTGCAGTAATTAGCGCTGATAGTATGGACAACTGGAAGCCAGGACTAAATTATCGCTGAAAGGTAAATGGCAATGGACAATGGGCAAACAGGAGGCCAGGGGTAATTAGCACTGAGCATAAACTCATAGCCATCAAGTGGTTTATGATAAACCTCAATAATTGACCTATGGTCTTCTGAAGTGATACCGTTTTTTTCTCAGTCTTGGTTTTCATAACCATCATAGAACTCCACTTGATACTTTGGGGAAGAAGGGTTTGTAGTTGTAAAATGATCTCTCTTATCTGTCTGTACCATATACTTACTGCCCCCAGCCCCTTGCAGATCTCCAACCTCCGTGCCAAGCCCGTCCCAACAATAACCATGCACATGGTTACTGATAACTGATGAGCGAAAGAAAAGTACCCTTTGTCCAGCTATATTGTGCCTAGCATGTTGAGAATGAGTAGCCTGAGTAGTGGCTTTAACATTTTTTAATAATGTAGCAAACTTTGATATGTAAAGAGCAAATATAATTCACTTTTACTTATTTTGGGGATACTTTAAAAAATAATTCAGTTTCTTTTGAGCAAGCATGAATATAAATACATCAACATCTTTGTCATACTGGAATCATACTGCGGAGGATTATCATAATCCTTCAACAACAGTTGCAACACTCATCTATTCAGAAATGATATATTGATTTGAGATAATAAGAATAACCACAATAATAACCACGAATGTGGTACATGAAGGGATGATTGTGTCAGTGACAATACTGCCTGGATGTGGGGATTATGGCTATTTGCTTACCCCCAAAATATAATCATTTTTGTTAAGTAATCACACCTCAAGAAAGCAAATAATTAGCTTCACCCTACACAACATTTCACTGACACAAAACACATTCTTTATGTGTTCTGAAGGGAGAAAATAACAATGATTCAAGGTGGTGTTTGTAATTTTCTGTGCATGGACTAAGGGAGATAATTTAGTTGACAAACACAGATTCGTGTACCACACTAGGAAATCTTTAGAAGGCTTTTGATTCGGTGTGACTTGGTGTCAGTGCCCATGCTGCCAGTGTGGTGATTCTGGCTGTTGTATTCTAGAGTTGGAGTACTCCTTAAAATAGAATCATGTTGGGTAATTATTTGTAAACTAACCGTTAGAGTACAAGTAACCAATTCTTTGTGTATTCTGAAGGGAGAAAATAAATATCTTTAGATGGCATCTATTTTTTCCTTTGCAACTGTAAAGAAAATTAACTCAACACATGTTTATTCTTGGGGAGTCTCCCTGACAGGAGAATAAGGCTACTATTTTCTAGAGGGTAAGTTCACAAACAAGTACCCAACATTATTGAATTGTTTGTTTGTTTGTTTTTCTCTCTCGATATGCCTGCCTTGGTGGCAGTATTGAAACTCTTGGACAAGTTGAACAAATTGGAGTGTCATCGTTAGTGGGAACAAGCATTTCAATTTCAGCTTCATTGGTCAAGTGGTTTCTGAGAAGATTTCTAAAATGGATCATGAGCAAACATGCCACAACATAAGTTCACTTTGCTCACAGTCTAAAACTTTGATATCCTGTATACATTTTTTAAGCATATTGAAATTCCAACTGAACTTCTGAAATAAAAAAATCTTGGAAACTTGAGACTCAAAGAACTATGAAGATGTCTGGCACCATAATGGAATTCAGATTTATTCAGATTGAATAACCTAGTTTTTAAGGGTTTCCTATGCATTTGATGTTTTTTTCACAGAACCAATGACATAGATCATATGTAGGAACAAATGGAACTCTGGCTCTGAAAATGAAAGGCCTAGAGAGCTGAAATTCTTCATACTTGATCAATAAAGATTTCACTGCATTTAAAACGTTCACCTCAATTGGCTTTTACCAGGTGAGAAACAATACCTTGCTTCTCATTTTTATTTTGAAGAGGAAGGAAAGATAATTGTATCCAAGAGTTTGGCGTGATGTATGTCAAGTGCATAATGTTTAATATCACATTATGTAAGATAGCTACGCGTAAAATTGCAAAGAACAATGAAGAACAAAGTGTGGATTATTTCACGATAAAACATTGCTCTATCATGACGTCACTCTGGAGATTCGAACATGCGCTTGCAACTTGATGACGTAAATAAGAGGGAAGTGTCTGAACAACTGAGTTGTTCCCCAAAGATATAGCTGGACAGCGCAGATGAAAGCATGCCGAACAATTGCACTCAAAAGTGAGAGAGATATGACAATCGGTATTGGAAGAAAAGGTACAGATAATTGATGTGAAAATTGTAAGAATACCAAACTTAATCCCCCTGTACATAAAATCGATTTGTCCAACATTCCCGAGGTATTCGTGGAGTCATTGTTATTTAAATACAGGTAAATGGTTCAAAGCTTGTACAATTTATTGACATCCTTAAAAAAACTGTGCAAAATATTGATATCTCATATAAGAAATAAAAGACTCGTGGTCGTTGTTTATCGTACAATAAGACACTGCAGGGAGAATATAACACTCGTGGCTGCGCCCCTCGTTCATGTTCTCTGCTGTGTTTAATGGCACGATAAACAAACCCCACTCATCGTTTATTTCTTAAATGATAGTGAGCTTTTGACTTGTGATATACTGGTTTAAATTTCAGCAAAGTTTAAGAGACTGAAGACAACAGTCAGCATTTTGGTTTTCTATTTTTCAGATTGTTGGAGCTACCATTAAAAATCCTCATGATGGTAGATCTACTACAGTGTATGACACTTGTGCTGCAGTATTGTCGGTATACTGTGCGCTTTTCTCTCGTCCTGTTCACCAATGTGTATGCCATATCATCCTACTGTGTATGGCTGCTGCTGCTTTGGCCAGTCCGAGTTCTTCAACCCTCCTTCTACTGGAAGCTTGAAACTGTCCTCTTCAAGGGACTCCTGGCCATGGTTACAACATGGTTCTTCACAGCAGGATACAGAAGTAAACAAATAACAATTACTGTCCACACATGTTAACTTGAAGCAATGTTTTCCATTCTATATCATATTGTTAGTTCACAAAATCAATTTCAGTTTATGTCAAGGGTCTTTGTCTGTCGCTCATCCCATCAGTTCATCCATCTGTCGGTCTTAGTATTAAACTGAAAGCTCTCCAAGACTATTTAACATATTGTTTTCACAGAACATGTTCTACATGCCCCTGGCTTTGACAAAATAAGACTTTTCTTTTTTTCAAATATTCAAAATGACTGTCTCATAGTACATTTCAGATAAGAATGCAGCCATTGCACTCCCCTCTTCTCATGGAAAACCATAGAACATATCGCTTTCAAATAATTAAAAATGGCTGCTATGGTAGTTGGCATAATTAGGATGTGTAAGATCAGTTGAATATTCAGGTTCTGTGTACCACTTTCTCATTTGTACTTGCTAGAATGTACATATTGAAACATGCCTTATATATGTTTCAGCAATCTTTCTGGCATTTGATTTGCTGACTTGTATGTAAAGGCCACTATATCTGCAAAAAAAAGCATAAAAACAGCTTCTTTCACATATAATTTGAGATTCTGGACAAGGATAGTTACCAAACCAGGCATACATGACTTTCTAGACATATGTTCAACAGAAGGAATTAAGTGAAAGTCACGGCTACCAAAATTGAAAAATGAAATAATAATGTTTGTTGAATTTAATTTTTTTTTGCCATAACGCTAAAAAAGGAGAACGTATCTGAGTATTATTTCATTTATCAAAAGACACCCAACCATTCATCAGTATAGACACAATAGAGTATTTTGAGGTGTTTCCTACATACAAATTTCAAACCATAATACGTTGTTTGGTGACAAAAATTATGATGTTTTAATTAATCCTGCATTACTCCCTAATGCATCTACTGCTTGTTCTTGACAGAGAGAAAGCTGCGTGAGGTCTTGCTGAAGACGAGGTTGTTTCAACTATCACAGAGCTCCCATGTGTTGTGTTTTCATATCTTTCATATGATTTACGCCAAAGCATAATGATTTTACGCCTGGTGGTGGTTTTCACCACAGTAATCTCAGATGTTGTGTAGCCATTTTGAATATTGTCCGTGGTCACGCTTTTTTGTGGCATGCGTTTTGTATTCCGTTGTATTGCCTGGTAATTCATCATTTACATATTCTTGCAATGATATCGTTTATTAAAGTGGTGGTTTTTTTGCGTTGTTTGTGTAAACGTGTGTTTTCATAATCCCACATGACTGGGAAAAAATACATAATACACCATACATAATCGGGCAGGGGCGCATTGTGATTACACTTTGCTTAATTGCAGATAACATGCCATCTTGTACAAGGTCTCGCCATAATAAGTCTGGGTGTTATCCTCATCCCTTGTGCTTAAATTGCATGTCCTTGTGCCTACCAACAGATGCCTCCTCAGCTATTCGGAGACTTCTAACCTGGACTCACCTTGGCTCCACTATCTGCAACTGCTGCAACAATCACCTCCGGCTCCTACAGTGTCTCTCCAGTCGACCTTGCCTCTCCTGGCATCTTCCCAGGCATCTCTACCAGCGTCTCTACAGGCGTCCCCAAAGGTGCCTCTCCTAGCATCTCTACAAACACCTTTATAGGCATCTCTACAGGCGCCTAACCTGGACATTTGTGGCATCTCCACAGCTAGGTCCACTCTATCCTGGGACTCAACTTCGCCTGGCACCTCTTCATGGCGCAATGGGAGCAAGTCTTCGTGCTCTAGTGGGTACAGGTACCTACCTGTACCAATCCATTCCGACGACAGAAAATTCATCTGCTTCATATTAATGGGAGTCCACTATCAATGGGCGGTGCTCCCATTTGGAAATTCCTTGGCCTCATGACAATTTACACACATCACCAAGCCAATAGCCTCCTTCCTCCACATGAGTGGTGTCCAATTTGAGGTGTACATAGACGACTGCCTCCTGAACCATCAGGTCAAGGCCACGCTCCTCTGTCACAGAAAAATCAGGCAGCATCTCCTTCTCCAACTGCGAGGGTTAATCAATCGAGGCCTCCTCTCAGTACCCAGGGACACGTGGCACTAAATACAACTCCACCTGCTCCCTGTACACCACCAATCTCGCACTCTGCGCCAGTGGCAAGCGCTCATGGGTCTCCTCCAGAGGGAGGCTCCAACTGCGCTCGATACAGATGTTTCTGGACCCCTACATAAGGCGCCAAGAACAGTCAATGTCCATTGTCCTCCCGAACTGCCTCAAACCTCATCTCTGGTGGCGGACTGTGGAATCGACCAACTTAGACGGCATCTCCTTGACATGAGCTTACAACCTTGTTACACCTATTCGCCACTCAACAGCACTAGCATATCAACAACCTCAAACTGGAGGTGCTCAGACTGGCTCTCTCTCGCTGGAAGTAGACCCTCCAGTGCACACGGATCGCACACGGACAACATCACCATTGTCTGGTGCCTCCGGAATCAGGGAACAACCCATTACCAATCGCTCCTAAGTCAAACATTCTACTTGGCCTTGTCAACCAGTTCCAGGTCCAACACATCCCAGGTTGTCGCAACATCCTGGCAAACACCCACTTCAGGCCGGACAGAGTCAGTTCTACGGAGTGGAAATTCCACCTGCACGCCTTCGCTCTTGTTTGTCTGTGCCTTGGCCGTCCCAAGATAGACCTATTCGCCGCCAGTCAGAACTACCAGATCCGGACCTTTATATCGCGGGTAGCAATCCCTCAGGCATCGCCTGTGAAGGACTAAAAGCATATACTTTTCCACCTCCAGTACTCCTTCAGAAGGCCAGGTCGATGCAGAGCCTCATTCTGATTTTAGTCATGCCCTGGTGGCCAGCAATGGGTTGGTTCATGGATCTCAGAGAGTTAGCCACCACCGATCCTCTTCTGTTCCCAGACTCGCCAAATCTACTGATTCACCCACACAGCAAACAACCACACCCGGTACCAGACAGATTATATCTGCACGTCTGGTCCATCTACAAAGAGCCTTAAGTGCCAAGGGCTACTTGGCTAGGGAGGTGAGAGCCATTACATCGACCGTTTACGAGAAGCCTCTACGACGGCAAGTGGCGCTCCTTTGAAAGTTTTTGCAAGGGAAAACACCAGGACCTGCCCTCTGTGTCTCCTCATTTTCTGGCCGAGTTCCTTCTCTTCCTGTGTCACAAGCTTCGTCTGAAGGGAAGCACTATCATGATATACCTTGTTGTCCTCATTTCTGTTTTTACAGAAGATGACAAAGATCCCCGAACTTTGCTCCTTCCGATTGGTAGACCAGGGCCCACTTGCACAAAGCGTTCTTAGCGCTAAGACGATCGTAACTCCATACTTTAACATAGGCTTACAATAGTCGTAACACTAAGATCGCTTTGTGCAAGTGGGCCCAGAAGGCTAAGTTTAGGCTCCCAGCTTTGAATCTGAACGTAGTCCTCACCCTACGGAGAAGTGTGCCCTTTGAACCACAAGACAATCTTCCTCCTGGCTCTCGCTGTGGCAAGATACATGCACTAGATGTTACGCGTGTCAGTTTTGAGCAAGGAGCGCACCTAACTCCCTTCCTCCCTGTCAATAGGAATGGTCGCTTTAAGCCAGACTTCGCCTTCGCTGATTGACTGAGGGTTTTTTAGAGTTTTTATTGAAGATCACTTCTGAAGGTATGCCCTCCACTGATCCGTCAGATTCAGATGCATTAAGGAGTAAAGCAGGACAAGTTGAAAAATCTTGTAAAATCCTTGGTATTTTTTAGATTTGTATACTTATCCTGCATTACTACGTCTAAACTGGCCCACCCATCGCAGAGCTGCCTCCCCATGATGCCTACAGATGTTCCGTTTTTTTGCAGAAATGTGCTGACCCGTGATGTCATCGCTTCCAAAGTCACATGGGAGCTGTGTGATAGGGTTGTCCTGTCAGCTAGTTGAAACAACCACTTCTTCAGCAAGACCTCGCACAGCTCTTTCTCTCTGTCAAGAACAAGCAGTAGATGCATTAGGAGTAATGCAGGATAAGTATACAAATATAAAGAATATATAGGATTTTACTAGTTTAGCACATTCTCACTCAAATTGTAATTATGTTTCATCCAATAAAAATGTTTGCAGACCAATTATACAGTGAACAAGGGAGATAGTTCTGACCTGCTGATTTGATTAATACTAGCTTCCAATCAACCAATCACGGTATAGTTTTACTATCATCCCTTGTTAATCATAGACGAGGACGGGTAAAAAATTTCTAAGCCAGACTAACTTTCAACTATTGGCCATAACAAAGTGAAATAGTCAATGTGGACATTGTTTGAGTGGTTCTTTGCAAGTGGATTTGGTCTGTTGAGGCCATTTGTATATCAGTGACAGCCAGTTGAACGTGATAGGGGTCCAAATGTACCGAGCAGCCGTCAAGTTTTTTACTTTAGAGAAAAGTACTCCCCAAGAAATTAATGACTGCATGTTACAAGTGCATGGGGATAAGTGCCCTAGCTTTTCCACTGTTAAACGAGATTAGTAACAGGTGATGAAATGTGGGTCTACCACCATAATTAATTTCCAGTTACTGCATGCATCAATAACCATGATGAAGTTGCAGGGCATATACACTCACACGCTTCATCAATACATTTGTAAGCCCACCTGTCAACTGTAAACTGCTACATTTATCCTGGTCATGACATCTCCCACGAAACCACCAGGCAGTGCAACATTTTTTAACGTTTCAGTAGTTGTATAGATAATTCAAACAATCATGTCTCCAAAAGTGCTCATCTTATACAATTATAAGTATAAGGTTACCTAATTTAAGTACTTCAGGCATTCTTCATGCATGTTATTAAAACCTGGTGCAAAGCTTACAATATTTATACCTGTGTACAGATGGAAAACAGCAAATCAAAACATTTAACATGATTTAAGGGGATGTCGGCGCAGCCATCTTAGATGATGACATGCGATCTTGATGTTAACATGCATCTTCATCTTCTCTATTTAGGCTCTGTTGCCAAGTATTGTTTTTGTGTCAGATATCTGATGATTGAGAATAGTTCTTTATTTGGCTTCAACATCTAGTTACAGGTTCCTACTAGTACCTATTGTTTGGCTAGTTCGTTTAACTTATTTCAACCTTAAATGCAACATGGCATGGATCCCTGGTATTACCTCTTTGGCTCTGGGGTGTTCCCAAAACAAGTTTCTTTGAGTTTCATGGTAAATATAAGGGACAGACCATTTGATATTCAGGGGACTGTCACAAACAGGGTTCAATGAAATTCTAAAACAAATTCAGTTGCTCCTTTCAGAGAAAAAATTGTATGTTTACCTCTGCCAATAAACACGGGGAGTCACCCTGAATGCCCTGTTGTTACAAGCCCTTTGGCATTGATTTATGATAGAGTGTAGAAGTGGACAGAAAGTGAAAGTGTTATACTCTTATTTCTTTTTATTGATGATCTTGACTTTACTACAAGTCAGAGCCGTTACATTTACCAGCATTTTCATCAGAACTCACCAGTCATATATTCTGAAGTGCCTGACCCCTCTTGTAGGCAAGATGGATATTGTGTTATAAGAAACCTGGTGATGCTCATGGGCTTTATCGTTACATGACTGCACCCAAGAGCCGGTGGAAAAGTTTTGATTTGCAGGTTTCTTTCAAAGTATTTATGTTTGAGGTTATACTAATTTGAGTTGAGATGAGTTGAGATAGGTTACCGGTATTATTTTCACCGTATTCGCCTTAACAAGTGCCTTGGGTGCTTAATGAATTGACTAAGGGGGTTAGTTTAATTTTTGAATTTATTTTCAGAGTTCCAGTGGTAGTGAACAAACATAGTTGATATGTCGATGAAAAAAACTTAGGCACAGGTATTTGATAACAAACCAAATCTTTAATATACACAAGAAAATAAAGACTGTCATGTTAATTTTCGGTCTTAGTAGGGGGCATTTATAAAGAAGATTACTTAGAGATAAGTCTGAAAGTTGGTCAGGGGCCCTTTTATGGAAGGGAATTACCATTGAATTCTTAATTTAAAACTCAAAATAACAGAATGATGATGAATAAGAATATGAAAAATAATAAATTATTCTTATTATTCTTTTAAAAGTGGACCATTGAATGCAAGATAATTGTGTTCCAAATATATGTTTAAATCATAATGATCAGTAAATTTTACAACGAAAAAAAAAGCATTTGACTAAAATTAGCACATTTTGGACAATGAAGATATACTCACAAATGAAGATTGGGACCCCTTTTTTACTTTTTATTATTTATATCACCATTTTCGAAAACACTTGTAAACAAAACACAAGAGAGTTCTAATTATTTTAATTTCTTGCATAGGATCTGTCCTTAGGCTGTTGACTATGTCCAGGTGAAGGGGGGCTGCAGTGCTGTTGTACTATTTCTTTGTGTTGGTCTAGTTGTAGAGAGTGGAGATGAGCTGAGTGTGCTTTATGAAAAGGAAGCTTTACTTCTGATCAACCACCAGTCTACTGGAGATGTACCATCCATAATGGCATCTCTGCATGGCAGGCAGAGGGTGGGTGGAACACTCATGTGGATTATGGATGAAATGTTCCGCTTTACTCACTTTGGAGCTGCGTCTACTTTGAGGAAAGACTTTTTCATCAGACAGGTACATCTAGACTGAGACTGTTAGCTTACATGGCTGAAAGTTAAGTGAGCTTATGATAAAGTCTGGTTGTCAATGTTTGTAAACATCTTGACTTTAGAATCTACAGGATCATGCAAACAAACCGAAACATGACATGATTGTTCATTTAGCAATGATTACACCTGAATTTGTTCAAGAGGTTTTAGACCCATTGATCTTGTTTATGGCCATCATATTTTCAATCAAAATATAATGAAAGAATAAGGTAGGAAAAGGGTCTTTTTTGGCCTCCTGGAAATGTTGAATTTGAAATATTGGTATGGATATTATGAATTTATGTATTCAAACGTCTGACAGGTAGCCTTATTTTTCTTTTTTACACCAGCAAGTTACGGTGTTTTGACAACATAAGCATGGTTAAAATTAGTGAAAAGGGCCCAATTTTGAAACTCCAAGAAAAAATCTCAATATGAGCATGTAGACGACTGGGCCATCCGTGCCCCCTCACCCACCTATGCTTGTGTAAATATGACCAACAACCAGCCAAATAAGACGACTTCTTTTTCTAATGTTTTCATCATTATTGGGTTTTGTTTCATGAAATTTATCAATATTTTATATACGTTTTAGTATGTGTCTGTTGAATAAAAGTTTAGAGGACAAGGATCTGGTGGCCAATTGCTTTTAGTAAGTGAGAAAGTACCCCAATATTTTTGTGTGATATATTAATTTTTTTAACTTATCCTGCTTTACTCCTTTATGCAATTTCATCCTGTTTTTTGACAGAAAGACAAACTGTGAGAGGTCCAGCTGCTAAAGAAAAGTTGTTTCAGCCAGTTGCACAGTTGGCATGTTACCTGGAAGCGATGATGTCACATATGAGCACATTACTACTTTGTCGGCCTATGCGGGCGGACACGTATTCTGTGGATTATAGCTCTATTGTTTCAACATCCTTTGCTTGTTTATTACACCATCGTTTGCTTTTATATTGTGTTTATGGTTTGTTCCTTTTATGGTTTTCCCCTACGTATATATTATAACGTTATCCTGCTCGTTAGTGGCACTAGTCAAACTTATATAATGGGCATATTGTTGTTGCATCCGCCATTTTGAATTTGCCACTTGGCCATGATTTCATGTCTTGCATTCTGAATTCTTTTATTTGGCTTTGGCAATCCATTATTATGTTTTACCTAATCTTTAGTGTGTTTTTTAAGCGTTGCTTTACACTACTTTTGCGGAATTGTTTCAGTTTTTTAGTTACGATTTGCCTCCAGCTTCCCAGTGGGAGTTTTCAACATCAATATGACTTTTCATAAACTACAGATTTTATTCCTTGTTGTACCCTTTGCTGTGGGAGCAAATCAGGCCAGGATTCCCATCCTCTCTGCCTAGACTGACCGGGACCCTGTACATCAGCGTCGCAGTGATGCCATTGCAATCCCTTGTCGCTGTCAGCCCTTCTCCCTTTACCTAAAAGTAGTCAGGAAACGTCAGACTCAATGTGCTCATCGACACCCCACTATGTCTGATACCACAGAGGCTCCCGCCCCCATCGAGATTGACACACCGTTGCTGTCTCCTACACTGCCCTTGCTGTCACCCATGCCGATGATCTCGTCCCCACCACCGGTGCCGCCCTATCACAGATTTGTGACGACATCACTATCTTCTATGTTGACGGCAAGCATCATCTACTCTGCCTTAGCGCCAGCGTAGCTTAACTCTTCCACTGACAGCGTACCTCAACTCTTCTTCCATCGCGCCAGCGGCTACTCTGGTGCCTGCATTCCTCTACTAGTCTACCCTGCCAGCAAGCCTCCAGTGTTCCTCAAATCTTCCATGGCACCAGCACTTCTCTACCCTGCCCCATCACCAGTGATGACTCCTCTACTCGTCCAGCATTCCTCAACCCTTCCATGATGCCACTGGCGCCCCATGATAACGGTCCTCCACCTGGTCTTCCAACACAATTAACCTACCAATTGGCGCCTCAGCATGTCCTCCCATCTTCCTTTATGGACACATCATGGATGCAGGCTTGGATGCAGTCTTTGTTTCAACAGACACCGAGCAGATATCGTCTAGATTGTCCAAATTGTCCAAATTGTCCAAGGACAATTACCAGCCTTTCCACAAGGGTGCCGATCTGATGTCAAAGTGTTGACATGTTGGACTTCAATGACTGGGTCCTCCCACCCCCAGTTGTTCCGGTCACTGACACACCTGTAGGTGTGTGTGTTTTAAGTGTTGCTTTACACTACTCCTGTAGGTGAAGACTCTAGAGGACCCGTTTGTTTCCACCGTCCTCTGTCAGGGGAACTATCAGCACCTGTGCAACAGCATCGACACCCTGCTCCACAAGGAGGATGTAAAAATTGTACACAACCCGGTTCATCATCTGGACTACACAATCTCTCCATCTTCAATTGGTGCTTCCTGGAATGTCCCCCCTTCCGGATGACAACGTTAAGGCTGCTCAGGACAAGAATCAATGCCAGTGAGTCCCTGATCAGCCTCGACATCCAGGATGCCTACCTCCATGTGCCTATCCACCCCAGTGACCGGCGGCTCCCCGGGTTTTACTTCAAAGGTACCCATTACCAGTGAGCGGTCCTACCATTTGGAATTTCAACGGCCCCATGGATCTTCACACAGATCACCAAGCCCATGGCCGCCAACCTGCACCTAAGGAACATCAACTTCCGAGTCTTAGACGACTGCCTACTGAACTGTCGAGACTTGGAGTTGTTCATTCCCAACAGGGATTTTACCCTCCGACTCTTCCATCAGCTGGGGTTCATTGTCCACCAGACCAGGTCGGAGGTCTGCAGTTCATCGGTGGCCTGTTTCTTACACAACAGGACATCCTTCAAGTTCCCAGGGACAGGTGGTTGAAGATTCTCTCCCACCTACTTGCCCTACATCAGCCCTGAAGTCTTCGCCAGTGGCAGGTGCTATAAGGTCTTCTCACCTCGACTCAAGGCCTGACTTCCAGGGGTTGAATCCAACTGCGCCCTGTCCAGTGGTTTTTCTCCCCCTTTATCAGGTGCCAGACTCCCTCAGTTTCAATTGTCCTCACGGTTCACCTGCAACCATTTCTCAATTGGCACAGCTACAACCTCCAGCTTGGAAGCTCTTATACTGGCCATCACATACTGGCAGAACAGTCTATGTCACGCCCAGTTGACCATATTGATGGATCACATCACCGTGGTGTGGTGTCTCTGAAATCAGGGAACACTCCACTCTCCATTCTTGCTAAATGAGACCTTCCTCTTTTTAGACCTGATGGTCAGTATTGACCTACGCTTCATCGTTCAGCACATACAAGGTTGCAAGAACGTTCTTGCGGACGCTCTGTCCAGGCCAGACAAGGTGGTGTTCATCGAGTGGAAGCTCCACCCCAACTTGTTCACCATGATAGACTCCCCCAACATAGATCTGTTGGCCACATCCAAGTACTGCCAACTGAAGAATTACATTTCATGGTTCCTGGATCCATTAGCAGTGGCAGTAGGCGCCCTCAGCGTTCTCCTTCATAGAATTCTCCAAAAGATCCACACCACTTGGAACCTGATACTGATTTTGGTTATCAGAAAAGACCCCCTAGAACTTCCGGTATGGCCAAACCTCCTGTTCCACCCACACAGCAGGTTAACACACCTGAATCCTGCCAGTTTTTTTCTGCACACCTGATACATCTGCAGAAAGCCTTAGGGGCCAAGGGATACTCATCTAGCACCCAAGATTATTGCTTTAGCCCATCACCCGTCTACACGTGGACTTTATGCTCATTCCAGGCCTTTGGTTCAGAAAGAAATCAGGATCCGATGATAGCGTCAGCCCAGTTATTGGCCGAGTTTCTACTTTTTCTGTGCTGCAAACGTCCGTAGACGTGGTTCTACCATCTCTACATACCTGGTCACCATTAAATCCATTCTTGCCATTCCACATGATTTTAGAATCATGAAAGTCGGGCACTTCAGGCCTTGCTGCGCCCGTTTTGTCTTGAAGACCAGGAAGCCAATTTCAGACTGCCGGCCCTGGATCTGAATGTGGTCTTACAGGATCTTCGGGCAGCTCCCTTTGGACCACTCCGCTTGTCTTCCTTCTACAACTTTACCATGAAGACGGTGTTCCTTCTGGTTTTGGCTACTGCAGCATGGGTCAGCAAGCTTCACACCCTCAATGTTTCCTGTGTTCGACTCTGCTGGGACTCCATTGCCAAGAATCAACACAGCCAGACATCAAGACAGATCGTTTACCATCCCTCCCCGCGTTGCAGACAGAGGTTAGCCAGAATACTAATTCCCCGTGGTTACAAGCTTATAAAACTGCCGGATTGGAACCCCTAGGCTAACAACCTGCACAAGATCAGAGCTGTCACATCTACCATGGCTCTTCATAAGTAACTGCTCCATCAAGGCTATCATGTAAGGGTGCTTTTTGTGAGCTGATACCGTCTTCGCCAGCCATCTCCATCATATAGCCTTGGAAGATGTTGCTGGAGTTAACAGCTTTGGTCTCCTGGTGGTAGCCAAACAGGTCACCAAACCCTGACGCCACTAATTCTCCGAGACCCCGAGCAGGCCCTTTGAATTCTGGTGTTTATCACCCCAGATTAGAGGGCTCATTAGGTCAGTTCTAGTTTTGGGCTAACCGCTTCTTTCTATTTTGACCACCTTTTCGGGTCTTTCTGTTTTCCTCACACTCTTGTTCTGACATTCTGACAGAAATGGTCATGGTTTTTTCGGTCATCATTTCAGATGTGGTGCTGGTTCATCAGACATGGACAAGGGTTTATTATTGATCGTATCTGATGGTGTGCCCACCTGCCGTACTGTAGGATAAAGATGCATTAAGGAGTTAGGCAGGATAAGTTAAAAAGTTAAGTATAATCTATATATTTTTTACATTTGTATACTTATCCTGCATTACTATTTCTAAGAGCCCTCCCTTTGCTGCACTACCTCCCCACGAAGTTTTGTTTGAAATAGTAATGTGCTCTCATGTAAAGTCATCGCTTCCTGGTCACATGCTCACTGTCAGATGGTGCTGCCAGTTACTGGTTGGAACAACTTTTCTTTGTCAGCTGGATCTCACACAGTTTGTCTTTCTTTAAAACAAGTGCATAAAGGAGTTATGCAGGATAAGTATACAAATGTAAAAAAATATGTAGATTTTACTAATCTTGAAAATATGAGATTTCCTATGAAACAGTTGAGTAAAGAGTATCACTTATTGTTAATATTATACAAAATTGGAAGGCTTCTGTGCACTGAATTGTAACAATATTGTTTTATTTTTTGTTTAAATCCAGGGTAAAGCTTTCAGGGAACAGCAGCTGCTGAAGCTCCATTCTCACCTGGTATCCGACTATGTAGCTCTTGACAGGAAGTGGATTGTACTATTTCCAGAGGGTGGATTCTTGTACAAGCTAAAGGATTCAAATAAAAAGTAAACATTTGTCATACTCAGTTGGTCAAGCAGATATCATTGAAAAACGTTATGTTTATTGATTTGATCCCTCTTTGACTGTTGATGCTGCTGTATTCTCGGCAGCATTAGGGCTCTATTTGGGCTACTTAAATGTTAAATTTTAGAGTTGCAGATAATGGCTGACATCTAGCCTTTTATATTTCCTACACTTGCATGTTTTGGACGTACACTTGACCAAATATGTAAAGTTTGGCTAATGTGAGTTAAAAAGATTTTTATTTTCTAACTTCAAGAGAAAATCTAAGTATGAGCAGGTCCGTGACCCAAGATGAAGTTTATGCTGTATCTTTGGATTGGTATTATCTAATTCTTCTGAGAAAGTCAACTTGGATCACACTCTAATATTAGAAGAACGCTTCCTGAAAACCTCCAAAATTAGCTTAATTCGTGTGAATATCCTACCTCTATAACAATATTGCCATAAGCCTAGTATTTTGGCTGTCATCCCACTATAAAATCTTCAGATGTTCAACAGAAGTTTTGGGGCATAGATGACCTTGTTGTCAAAGGCGATGCAATTCACTGTGCGGAGTTATGTCCCCTTGGCATGTCAGAGACCTATGATTTAGGGTTCAAATTCCGGTTCGAATTCCGGTTCAACCCGATAATGACATGTCATGATATAGCTGGAATACTGTCCAGAGTGGTGTTAAACCCAATTCCCTCATTCACTCAACAGAAGTACTCTTCACTGTCAACTGTTCATTAACAGTTGTACAGGAAATAGTGTCATGCTCAAGGTGGGAAACCTCACTTCTTTCCTGTGTGTGGTGGACTGCTAACTGTGTGTCCCCCTGAACATTTTGACATCACTGAATTAAGCTTGGCCAACTTACTAGTAGTCTCCAGGCAGCGAACTAATCGGCAGGAGCCCTATACCAATTTCATCCAGAACTTGAATGCAGCATTACTTGTGTGAGGCAGGCACCATTCCAATTCAGGAATTTGTTTTGGTTTCTGGACCATGGACCACACAGGGTCCAGATGGTTGGTATCTGTCACACACTACCCATCTGGATGGACATTGGGGCTTTCATCGATTTGTTCGTTGCCGGAGTATGCCTCATTATACTGTCTCTTCAAGAACATGATGAGGGCACCTCGGGATATGCCTGTCACTATGCTCAATCAAATGGACTTCATCAGTAGTCTGTTAGATTGCATTGTGAAGTTACATTGTCTTTCTATGTTGTGAAGTCACATGTTTTGGTCTCAGAGACATCATCTTATCTCACAAGACTGAAATAAAGCAGTGTCGGAACTGTCGAGGAGGTCTGTCCTGTCTAAAACTATCATGATTGAACACTTTTTTTAGTGATTAGCTACACAAGGTCCTTGATGAAATATGTCAAGATGCCACTATAAACCTGGCAGTTAGTGCTCACAGTTCAGCTTTCCTTACCAAGAAACCTAGATATTTGGCCAGAGATCATATCTTTCGAGTTTCTACCGAGAGACAGTTTACCCCATCAGGAAAGAATCCTTCCTGATGAACATATGGTAGGATAGATCTACAAGGGAGAGCACTAGATATTTTGAGCAGAAACGAAGAACAGGAGGTGGGACCAGCACTAAGGTTTGAGATCTTTGTCGTCTGTGCCTGTCCAGTAACCATGCATCTCAAATCAAACTCTGTGTACCTGTTTTTATATGGCCTTAGATTCTCAACTACCGGACTTTAACCTTATGCCAATTCTGAGACCAGTGAGAGGATGTTCTTGAAGTTGTAAGAGAGGGATACAAGTTGCCTTTCCATCAGTGACCAGAATGTGTATCGCTGTCAGAGGGACGGCAGTTTTATCGGGAAAAGATTAAGTTAGCAGCTTGGCAAGTTGGCAGACTTGGCCAGTGGACATTATTAGACAAGAGAGCTATTCAGGAACTGAAGTACAGACCTCACCAAGGGCTCCTAATCCAAGAAACAAGGAATTCTAGTCATCTGCCCACGTTCCAGATTGAATCTATAAGGAAACATCAGGAGTAATACCACCAACCTTCCCAACTGCCTACACCTTGTTTAAAGAAGTGAGGTTTCCCACCTTCCACATGTACAAGAGCAATTGGCAGAAGTACACTATTTCTTGTACAACTGTTAATTGATAGTTGAGAGTGAAGTGGACTTCAGTAGAAAATCAAAGATTTTATAGTGTGACTACAGCCAAGATAATTTATGGCAGTGTTATAAGAGTATTCTTCAGGTAGTATTCTTTCAATTATATAACAACAATAACTATTGTTTGATTTTTGACACATTTTAGTGTTACCATTGCATTTAATGTTGTAAGTCCTACACATTCGATAGTTGTTATGCACAAAGTCTAAATCTACTTCATATTAACACATAACTTTAAAAATGATTTGTTTATGTTTTCCTCATTTCTCAGATTATGCGTATCTCTTTGGCCAAAAGGACCCTTGTCATACCTTGTCCTTTCCACATTTGTTTTTGCTCAATCGCCATCTTGATTAGCAGACTTTTTCAGTGCCCTAAGATATGTATAAATGTGTGTCTATTCATGTATAAATGGTGCAACAATGTTAATTACTTTCTGTGCACCTTTCTAGCTAGATTTGTGCAACTGATTTGGCTCACCTGACTGAAAGTCAAGTGAAATTATGTCATCTTTGTTTGTCCATCCATGTATCATGCCTTGTTAAAGGTCAAAGTCAAGATATGTATACAAACAGACATTCCTCTTCACTGTCAGCTCTCCATAATCAGTCATTTGACTAATAGTCTTACACTTGCCAGAACTCTTGTTCATGATTAAGGTGGGAAACGTTGGTACGTGATTCCCAACTGAGACCAGCTTGGTTACTCCGTTTACCATCTCATGTTGGGTCTCAAGCCGAAGGGAGTAGTTACAGAGTATGTTATGTTATGGACTTCTCAATGTTGAGAGTTGCCTCCACTTGTCATAGACATGCTTTGTGACTTAGCTTGTGGCTGCCATATTTTTGGTTTATCAGCAGGAAACAAGAGTCCAGCAACACAGTTGATTCATTCATCGTGTCACTATACTTGCAAGTAGAATATCGTAATTAGAGAAATCGGCAAGATGAGATGATCAGAGATAGAATCGTTACAGGTTTACGTGACAGTAGATTGTCTCAGTTAGACCCACAACTGACTCTGGAATCTGTCAAAGTGTGTTATGCTTACAAGAATGCACATGAGATCACAGAATCACAATATGAGGAGGAACTGTTTCCTGGAGTAGTCATTGTCAAACCAGTTAATACTGGTAAGTGGAGAAATGAGTAGGCCATGGTTAGTCCACATCAAAGTTGCCAATTCAAAATAGACGGTTGAGCCCATGTCACTTTGAAACCATGATCAATCTTCACACAGTTTAAAGACAAAGCAGGTGGTGTTGGTCAAGATATCATATACATTGGAGCAAGATTCAGGCTAGACAGGGGATATCTATCTGACTTATCCGACGCGAGAACACCATCAATTCACAGACGCATCAGATTTGGGATGGGGAGCTCATGTGGACAATTTAACAGTACAAGGATCGTGAAACACAGAAGAAATGAACCTTTATATCATCTGCAGGGAAATGAAGGCTATCTATTACGCCATTCAGGAATGGAAAATACATCTTTCCCTATCATCAGTTCTCATAGCCACAGACAACATCACAGTAGTCGCCTATATTCAGAAGCAGGGAGGAACCAGATCCAGCTCCCTGTTGACGGAGACTACATGATTGTTTGCTTTGGCAGACTGGCAATTGCCAGATGGAAGCGAGACATATACCTGGGAAACTGAACCTACTGGCCGACAGCCTTTCTCGCCAGGGAAGAATAGTGGCAACAGAATGGACCTTGCATCCACAGATCTTTGCCTGGATAACCAAGCTAGGGGACACAACACACCTGGATCTATTTGCCACCTGCCAGAACAAACCAACTTCCGGTTTATGTCAGTCCGGTTCCTGACCCAAGAGCTCACCAGATCCACACCATATCGATGGACTGGACAAATCTATTTTGCGTACACATTCCCACCATGGTCTCTCCTAGACAAGGTCATCCACAAGGTGGAGGAGACGGATTGCATAATAATACTGATAGGTCCAATATGGCCCAGCAGGGCTTGGTTTCCCAGACTACATAGACTACCAATGGAGGAACCCATCCAATAACCACTTTGTCGAGATCTGCTACGACACCCCATGTCAAGCATTTTCCACGACAATCTACCCAGCCTACATCTAACCACTTGGAAGTTATCACGCAGAAGATGCAGCCATCCGGATACTCTGAGCTTGCCACAGAAGTTGTGGAGACTTTCATCTTCCCATATTTATGACAACAGATGACAACAAGTTTGTCCAGTGGAGAAGACGACAAGGGATTAAAATTAATGCTATATCCATCCCTATGGTAGCAGGTATTCTACTACATCTACGTCAGGACAACTAATTCCGACATGGAACGATAGAATGTTACAGATCAGCATGACGGATTATCAATCGGAAGCCATCCCATTCTAAACAGACTAATGAGATCCTTTCTACTAGAAGAGATTCAAGTGGAATCTATCTGTGGTACTATCGATATTGTTAACAGGATCTTACGAGCCCATGGCTAAAGCTACTCTACTCCACAAAGCCAGGAAAGTGTCGTTCCTCCTAGCCATGGCTATAGCAGCAAGAGTGTCAGAATTATATGCCTTAGACTATTCTATGCTCACCCATGATCAACATTGGACCTCTATAAATCTAAGATCGCTCCCAGACTTTGAAGCCAAGAATCCGTCTACCACCATGGGGCCGTTGGACCAAAGACACTATACTATTCCTGCATGAGGACCAACAGTGGATCACCCATACAGACTCTTATGTCCCATCAGAGCTCTCAAGTTCTGTCTCGCTGCTACAGACCCACATAGACGCCATCGAAGGAGACTCTTTCCATCCTGTGAGACTAATTCCAAGGATATCACC